CACCTGGTGGAGAAGATAAATAAAGAAGTAAACAATTCAATAAATTATTTCAAATGGTGTTATTTTAAAAAATGTGTAATGTGAAAAAGGATGTTTGGAGATATGAGAGAAGACCTCTCCTAAAAGGTAAAGCCTGAACTGAGAACTGAGAACTGAGAAGTCAACCCTGCCAAGGTCAAGGTGCTCTGAGCAGAGAACCAGATCCGCAGAGGTCCTGGAATAGAACACACATCCCAGCATGGATGCAGCTCCGTGAAGGAGGAGGAATCGTTGGGGATAAAGTCTCCGGGCAGGGACCAGATCACGTTGAACCTTGTCATTTAATTTTTATTCTATTTATTCACTAAGAGGCCACTTGGAAGATTTTAAGCAGCAGAGTGACATGATCTGAGTTATGATTTTAAAAGTTCACTTTGGCTGTTATGCTAAATAGATGTAGAGGGAAAGAACAGGAAGTGAAGAAGACCTAAGTGGGGGGGGAGGGTACAGCTCAGCGGTAGGGCACATGCTTAGCATGCACAAGGTCCTGGGTTCAATCCCCAGTACCTCCATTAAAAAAAATTTTTTTTAAGCTAATAATAAATAGACCTAATGACTCCCCCCAGATTAATAAATAAATAAAATGTAAAAACTAAAGCAAATTTAAAAAGACCTAAGGGGAACTCCTGCAGTCAGCAAATATAAGAATCCTGGACAGCTTCCCCTTTCATATATTCAGGAGGAAGAAACATAGGACTTGCAGATAAACGGAACAGAACTCTGAGGAAAAGTCAAGGTTGAAGATACTCATTTGCAAGTCACCAGAATTTGTTTATTCCTCAGCTGTCTCTGGGACTCTAGACAGACATTTCAACCGTTTGCTGGCATGTTGCCTTTAATGTCTTATTGGAATCTAAATCAGAATTCATCACCTTCCCGCATAAAGAAGTATATGGAAGTATGAAAATAAAGAGGAATTTTCCTTATTTAAAACCTACTTCTATTATTGGTACCACCATCACCCAAACTTAACACATTTCAGAGTCATTGCCATCCCCCTCTCCCTCAGCCCCATTCCCTACAACTAACCAATACAAGTATGCAAATTGTATCTTTGTAATATCTCTTGCATTCACTTCCTTTTTCATTCCATGCCTTCCCTTTTAATAAGCCTCAAACTTATCCTGACTTCATGCTATTCTCTGGTGCCAAAAGACTTTCTATTAAATTGGGTATAAACTCCTCAATCTAGCACTTGAAGCTCTCAATGCAGCTCAAACCACATTTCTAGTCTTTCAGGCTGCTGCCTAACACATAACCTTCAGGGGGGCCAAACACAGCAGCTGTACCCCTAACACACCTACTGCCCCACCTCTGTACCCTCCCTCCCCTCCATGTGAGGTGTACTTTCTGTGTTCTTACCCATCAGAAGTCAACCAGCCTTCTGAGCCCAGGTTAAATGCCACTTCCTTCATTAATCTCATCTTTCCATCCTCATCTAAATGTGACCACTTCTACCTCTAAAATTCCAGGAAATGCTGTTTATAATTTTCTTTTGGCTCTTATCACAGATGTCCTCACATCTGGGCATTCTGGACATCCGTCTTATCTCACATACTGATCTGCTGTCTGTTCTTTGAAGGTAGAAACTATGACAGTCAGCTGTGCATTTCAAATAGAAACTGCAACCGGATCCTGCACTCAGTAAACACTCCGTAAATATCTGTAAATTTTTACAGGCTATTTACAAAAGTAGCTCCTACTTGAATTCAGGGAATAAAGCCCACAAAATTTTCTCTGTGCTTTCAGTATACTTAATCAGGCAATGTGAATACACGAACGTATAAAACAAGCCTCTAACTTTAAGAAGGAAAAAGAGCATGTTGAGCAAGGGAACTCGGTAGAAACCACAAAAATGCAAACCAAACTCACATCATTTTCCTGAGCAAGTCTTAAAATTTCATCAAATGTTACAAATGTATCATTTCCTCTGACTGCATCTTTTTCCATAAATCCCAGATGAGTATCTGTTGCAACTAAGATTTTAAATGTATTTTCATCGTCACTGTATTAAAAAAGAAGAGACATCTCAATAGAATTCATTAAAAGGATATTCAAGCAAATTGAAACCTAAATCTATAAAATATTAGCAATTATGGAATAAAATCATTTTTCTAACCTTAAACTAGGTCTGAAAATTTGAAGCAGTCAACAGATCATTAACATCACAGTTTTCCTATCACTAATACAATGCAGAATGTACATAGATTTTTTTAAAGGTTCTGTGACTGCTTCAAAAATGTATAACCTTGTTACAATCAATTTTATACACTCATATGTAATCTGATCTGAACCCTTGGTTGTTTTCCTATTCTGTTCCACAGCAAAAATCCAAGAGGATCTGACCTCAGTATCCAAACTTGCTATTTATCTACTCTGCACTTTTCCAGGAAAATTAGAATTAACTAGTTAACTTTAAAAGCCCTCCTCCTTACTTTATAAGTAGATTTTATCCTAACAAGTTAGTAATTTACATCCAGGACCCTGAAGACGCTTGCTTGACTCTACTCTCCATACAAAGTTAGTTTTTCGCTAACAAATTTGGCCAAGTAACTAAAATTTACAATTCCACTTGAATTTGGTAGTATTCAAAAGTACTTTCATGTGAAGCAGCAACAGAACAGCTATTAACATTCTTTTAAACTTAATATAACTTTTAACTTTCTTTAAAATATTTTGGATCTCTGATCTCATCTTCCCACATGTAAAAAGGTTAAGTAAGTATCTCTGAAAAATGAGAAGGCTATACACAGAGAAATTAATGATTCATCGCACAATAAAGTAGTGGAAATGGTACTAAAACCCAGGATTACAACTGAGGCTGTTTTCACTAAACCATACAAACTTAAAAGAAATTTCTCTATGTATCTCCAAAATTCAAATTGTTAAACACAGGAGAATTTCCAGAAAACATTTCTTTTTAGATACTTCAAAAATGATATGCACACAGTCCTGATTGCAATATACATACCGGTAGGTCGGAATACTTTCAGATCACATTACTATTCCAGGCTTCTATAGCAACTTGTATTTTCACTTGAGTTCTTTCATTTAAACATGAAAATTAATCTGAGTCATTTTTAATCCAATTATACAAATGAAGAAACTGAGGCAAGTTTCAAAGGATTGCTAACTTGCCCAAGAACACAGAGTATTAATCAAGAAATTAAAACCAGGGTGAAATACTCAAGCTTAAAGCTTTTTCCACATAACCTTTTCTAGTCCTTTTATTTATTTTCATTTTAGTCAGATTCATTTCCAATTTATTCAATACTAGAGCAATTTACTGCTCTAAAAATCTACTTAAACAGACTTGCATTAGCTAATAGGACAATCATTAAAGTTCAAGAATGTTTACAGCTTCAATATTTTAAGACAAAAACTAAGAACATAAATTCATATACTGTAGCAATATGCCAACTTACTGCAAGACACCAATCTAGAGCTGCATGTTATCGTTAGTTTATAAACATATAGTATGAATTTCTAACCCTTCCAAATATGCTTTTTTGTGACTAACACTTGTGTTCATAGGCAAGCTCTTTATTTTCTCATAATTTATTAAATACGTTTTCTTTTACGGTGACCACAGTTGCTGGGCTGTAGAAACCGAAAGCAACGAAAATTCCAAAGACAGGTGCTTACAGGGCATCTGCAGGACTCATTTCTATGGTCTGTCCAGCTCCTCCAGAACCAGTTCTCTCTCCAAGTACCCCTGGGTCCTGTGCTCAAATATGTCAGAAAACTCGACTCCAAATTCTAAAACAAAATTATACTATTTAAAAAACATTTTTAAAAAGCAGACTGGCAATTCTGGAAAAGTTCCATTTTTCATCTAAGCACCTACTATACTTTTATTTTTTAAGAGCTAATAATAGAAAATAGCGTATCTCCAGTTCCATTTTAGTTTCATCATTGATTAAGCTCATCTCCTATTTCCCTTTCCCATGCCCTATGGGAAGCTAATGTTTGCTAAATGAATAGGCAAAAAGGGTCACATACTGTACTTCAGGTTTAGCACACAAACAACTCTGGATGTGCAGAAACTTAAGGTGCATGCACAGGCTACTCGAGCTTGGAGGCGACCTCGCATTTCCTGTTGACATACGGGATTTTTTTTTTTAAAGGCAGGGGTTTGCTTTGAAAAGAGAAGGGCTCCACGTTTAAAGCTAGTGTAAATAAATACAGGCACGAGGTCTGTGGAGAAACACCTTCAGGAGCCAGCAGTTCAAGGAAAAAGGCCAAGGTATTTGGGTAGGAGTGACGGCCACCGCGGAACAACCCCTCCCACGTCCGAATCCCTGGTTCGGTAGGGATTCCAAGCCTCAGCACGCCCCCACCTCCAGACGCTCGAACGCCAGAACGCCGAAGCCCCCAGGACTCCTTCCCAGACTACTCGGCCCATTCTTCCCACAGTGTCGCTCTTTTCCGGGCTTCGCCGGAGATCCTACAGATACAGGAGGCGATTCCTAAATTACCCCCCACCTGGACTCTCCAAAGCCCCACCCTGGGGACCCGAGGCTGTCTTTTACCCAGGAAGAAGGAGGGAGATTCGTGGGAAGAAAAGCAACAACACCAGCTCTGCTCGCCTCCGAGAACCCACTTGGCCAAAAACCTGAATTCGGCGGGAGAGAAAAGCAGCTCTTCCTCTCGCGATACCTCATTGATGACGTGGGCGTTCCCGCTCCTCTCATTGGCTGCCAAGTGCGGTGAGGGCGCAGGGAAAGTAGCGTCTAGGCTCCGCCCTCGTCCAGGAGCCAATCCTGAGTAGCCGAGGGGACGAACCCCGGAAGCGAGGTTCCCGGCGGTGATTTTTCCCGTCTCTAAGGTGGGTAGCCCTTTCTGGTCCGCGGCCGCGCTTCGTGGTCTCCTGGCGCCACCCAAGAACTTCTGGGCCCAAAGGGGCTGGTCACCTGTCGACACCTGGGGAGCCCTGCAAGTCGAGCCGCGTCGTGGGTCCTCGGTAGGGCTGGAGCGGCTTCTTCGCTCTGGGCTGTTTGGAAGGCCGCAGACGTGAACTCACGGGCCTGCGAAGTGACCGGCCGGTGCCGGAGGGCCGGGCCTGGTGGTCTTCCTCACTCCCACTCCCCAGAGAGTGAGCATTCTGACTCTAGCTTACAAGCCTTTCCCTGCTTCCCCATAATTGTGTCCCTGGATCCCGGGTTCAGCATATCTGTACTGCTTTGTGCTGATAGCAGTAGAATGATGTGCAATAAAAAAAATTATGTGAAACTTTTAAATTAGAAAAGTTAGGCTTTCAGTTCCATTGAAAGTTGTTTTAAACTATCCGAACCTCAGCGACCTGTAAACTGGGGTTTATGGCCCCACCTCTCACCGGGTTGTTTGTGAGCTGACATAGTTTAGAGCTCTATGGAATGTGTCCTTTAAAAAAATGTACCCTGTTTCTTCCTGGTAGAATGTCATCAAGTAGGAATCTTGATCGACTCTTCAAACCCTGAATCAGGGAAATGCACCTCGGTTTGATTTTTTTAATTAAGTCCACTAGGACATTTTATATGTAATTGTATCTGGAGAGGAAATTCAAATTAGAAAGAGAATTTTTATAAAAAGGAAACGGGGGTGGAAGATCTGTGCTATGATGTTATTATAGTTCATATAATTAACAAGAAAACTTTATTATTTACTGGTATTTATTAAGTGTTTAAGGAATTGATGTATGATCACTTTTGTGTTGCAAGTTTCAGGAAATAGTTTGAGAAGAAAGAAAGAAGTAAGAACTATTAGAACATAAAGCCTTTCTGATAGGGTCTCCCAATAAACTGAAAAACTAGACAGTCTACGGAAATCCTTTAGAACAGTCCTTACATTACAACAGAGTAACAGGTCCAGAGAAGGTACTGGTTATAAGTAACAGGTTTAATGCTCTTGGCACTAGTAATACAATCTAATGATGCATTAGGATTGTATAGTTAAAACTCTGAAATTAGGTAGAAAGAAATCAGTATCTTAAGGGTATGACTAAGTCTCGAACTTCTTAATCCATTCTAAGCAAAATTAAGTAATAGGGCTTTATTTAATTCAGTTTAACTCTACAAATATTTCTTAACACCTGCTATATATTAGTGGGACATAAATGTAAGTTAAATATAGTCCCTATCCTTAAGCTTATAATCTTGTAAAAGGCTAAAATAAAAACAAAATCAGTGATGAAATAAGACAATGTGGAGCACAAAAAAAGTAGAAACTAGAGACAGATCTAATTTGGAGGCTCAAGAAAGACTTAATGAAAGAGGTAACATCTGAGAAGAGCCTTGGAAGACTGGTAAGATTTCAACAAATATAGTTGGAAAGCTGAGAAATGATATTTTTAAAATATCTATTATCATTTTATTTAATTCATTACAGTTTAATATACTGTGTAACTCTTCAACCTGATATTGGCTTATAAATTAATATGGCAACCTAGCAGAATAAATATCACTTCACCCAGGAAGCCTTCTCTTGGGCCTGGGATAATTATGACCTTCCTGTATATTCATTAGATCTGGACATGGTCCTATCATAGTACTTATCATGCTGTCTTTGCCATTCTCCCTGACTAGATGGTAAGCTTCCTGAGGTTAAGACATGGATCTTGTTCATTATTGAATCCCAGTACCCAGAGACTGGCACATACGAGGCATTCTATTCATATTTGTTGTATGAAGGAGTGAATGACAGCCAAAATTCAGTTTCAAAACAAGAAGCCAACTAAGAACTATAGTTGTCTGTCAGTGAATAAGCTACTTTTTAAAGCAGTGAATTTTCCTAGGCCTGAACCTGTTAAAGTAGAAATAGGATAATTATTACAGATGTGATGATCAAGATATCTGCATTGATGAGAGATTGGGACACACGTCCTTTGGGGGCCATTCCATCTCTAAGGATCCCTGATTCTCTGAAGTACTTTTTTAGGAACTGAATGTTTTTGTTTCTGCTCTATAGCATCTATGTGTCTAGTTTATAAAAATTGTGAATGTGCCTTTCTTTATTGTATTAGCTATCATTTAGATGCTTAAGCGCTAAGCACTCTTAGCATAATATAATATAGTATCTGAACCAATAGATTCAAAATAAATGCAATTATAACCATTGTCTTAGTGAGAAGGAGCAACAAAAAAGTGAGTATTAGACCATTAAAAATAAAGATAGTTGAAATCTGTCAGCTCCAGTATTTAATGAATCTAGAGGGTATCAATAAACACCAAAGAGTTTAGACAGACTTTTATTTGTGTATGTTTGCAAGACTTATCTATGCTGTTGATAAAGCCTCAATTACTAATTTACTAATAATTTTTGTGTTTGTGTTTTCAGATCTTGATGAATAAAATAAAGCAGACATAATTCATCTCTGGAAAGATTATTTATACCTTGGCATTTGAAATGCTTTGTATTTAGAATAGGAGTTAAAATGGAAAAAGAGAAGGGAAGTGATGATGGAAAACCAGACCCAGAGAGTTCCTTGGACTTTTCTGAACACTTTAACCAGCTTGAATTGTTGGAAACACATAGACACCTTATTCCCATTGGTACCCAAAGTCTCTGGGTAGGGAATTCTGACGAAGACGAGGAGCAAAATGAAAAAACTGAAGAGTGGTATCAACTGCAAGAAAAAAAAATGGAAAAAGATCCCAGCAAATTGCTTCTTTGGGCTGCTGAAAAAAATCGGGTAAAAAAAAAAAAAACTGTTAAAGAGGAAACCTTAATTTAGTGGGAAAAGTGTTAGATTGGAAGCCAGAAGACCTGTCCCTGAACCTGGCTTTGGTCTGTAATTTTGGGCAAATCCTTGCATTTCTGAACCTCTGTTTTCTTATCTGTAAAAATGGCCACTGTTAACACCTGCCTCTTTTATACAGAGTTCTGAGGTTCAAAAGAGGCACATAGTAAGCCAGAAGGTGTCATATGGGTAATTTGGGGGGCTTAAGGATAATTAACTATAAAGATAGCAAACAGTCATCTATATTTTTCAATCATTTATATTAAGTCGTTAGGATCATCCTAAAGACAAGTATCATTTAGGAAAGAGAAGATGGGAATTAATATCTGTTAAATACCAACTCTACCACACGCCTTACTACATGATTTGATTTAATCCTCATGTATCCCTATAAGATAGGTGACATCCTTTCCTTTTACAGATTAAGTAAACTTGACATTCAGGATTATTAGTTTTCCCAGGACCCATAGGATGATCCTACTTAACATCAAAAAATCTGTTCCCACTTGGCCACTTCTACCTTGTTTTACTAAGTTCCCCCATGTCTGTATTAGTAAACTAGAAAGGTCTTGTATTTTTGGATAACTTTTTAACTGAAGAGCAGACCCACCAGAGGTCCTCAGACCAAACCATAAATCACTTCCTGAAAACGTGTGTCTAAAGTTATGTTAGAAAAAATTGAGCTGCTTAGTCTCTGCATTTCCTTGTTACCATTGTAGTCTACTGATAAAAGAAGTTTATTTTTAAAAAATTTTACGCTATGTATATTGGTATGATAATCCTACTACAGAAAAATTAGTCTGACTGCATTATCATGTTTCTTCACAGATGAAATATAAAATATTAAGTACAACTCTAGCCAGCTTTATTCATTTAGGACTATAGCTTTTGTGCAGTAAACCTTAATTGGACCAAAAGTAAATGTATGGTTTGGTATTCAGAGAATCACAATCTTAGAATCAACAGTTGATGGTTAATACTAACTTGTATGTTGTTAAATCAGTTACCCTCTCCCCCAGAAGAAGAAGAAATCTTAAATTATTTTGATTTTAAAGTCACCTGCTAACAAGTAAGTTTGTATTTAACTTAATTAAACCTAACACTACTAGACAGTTCAATTTTCTTTGTTCACTTTAGTTTTGAGTTCGGTTTTTAAAAGCTCTCTTCCCTTCTCAGCTTACCACAGTGCGGAGACTCCTTTCTGAAAAGGCCACCCACGTAAACACCCGGGATGAAGATAATTACACCCCGCTCCATCGAGCAGCCTACGGCGGACACTTAGATGTTGTCCGGGAGCTGATCGCCCAAGGGGCAGACGTCCATGCGGTGACTGTGGATGGCTGGACACCCCTGCACAGTGCTTGTAAGTGGAATAACACCAGAGTGGCTTCTTTCTTATTGCAGCATGATGCAGATATCAATGCCCAAACAAAAGGCCTCTTAACTCCCCTGCATCTTGCTGCCGGGAACATAGACAGCAAAGATACCCTAGAACTCCTCCTGATGAACCGCTACATCAAACCGGGTCTGAAGAACAGCTTGGAAGAAACTGCATTTGACATCGCCAGGAGGACAAGTATCTATCACTACCTCTTTGAAATTGTGGAAGGCTGCACAAATTCTTCACCTCAGTCTTAACGGTTCTAATAATTTTCTTAAGTGTCTAAGTACCAGTGCCTCCTTTGTGTGAGAAGTGAAAAATCCCCATAATACGAAGTTGACATCGAAGTCTTACCACAGTAATTCAGTGGTACTCATGATGGTATCCTTCCAAGTGAATTGCCTGACCTTGATGTCAAAATGTATTTGAGAGTTGTGTGGCTGTGTCTTTAATGATTTCTGTGGAGTTGGTGATTTTTATCAGAAATCATTTTAACTTACCTATACCTAAAAACTTGTCACAGGTTGTACAGAAAACTAATGATATTTTTGGTGCTGATCCAAGAGAAATGTATTTTTAAATAACCCCCATCCTAGATCTTTGTTGAGTATTTAGTATATTGACATGTATTTTTATAAGGTAAGGTAACTCAATTTAATTTAAAAGTCTTAAATATACTGGTGCGGTTTAGCTGTCTCCTCTGCATCACCATAGCCATTTGCTTTCATTGTAATCCGTAAGAAGTAACGTTATTAGTGACCTGAATCTTCATATGTTTAAAAAAAGCATCAAGAAACCTAGATTTTTGTCTTTTAGAACCTAGACTACTTTCAGGAAAGTAGTTAGCTAGGTGTTTAATCCACCAGTGTTAAATACTGCCTCCCCTCCCACAAGTCACACGATTCTGTGGACCGTCCTACCTCACCCTGGTCAACCTGCGTCATCCTTATTCTGCTGGCGCGTCAGCACGACCTTTCAGACCTGACCTGCGCACAACCGTACCTTGATCCAGGAGGTCACAGTGTGTCTGCCACCCAGCTCGTTTTCCCTGCCTGGTCCTGCCGACCTGGGCACTGCTCATATAGTCTCTCAAGTTCACAGGAAGTGTTATTTTCCAGGGTCCTCATTTTGTACAAATCACACAAAGGCAAAGCGACAAGGGAAAAGGAATTTGAAGAATGAGGGGATGATTATTATATTGGAGTGAGAACCATGAGTGGCTCAGGCTTTTTTGAAAAGCCACCGTGTGGGTAGTGACGAAAGCATAAATATAAATATTCAAAAATAAAAGTTTTGAACAACCGAAAAAAGCATGAATTCTTTTTTTTCACCTGTGTGTGTCTTCCTTAGATCCATAACGTATTTCTTCATCTAACATACATTTATTTGGTATCTGCTCTCTCCATCTCTCCAGAAGCGGTTTTCCATTGACTTCTTAGCCTCTCTGTGACTGAAACAAAGGGTTTTCTCTTAACTCTCAACACCAGAACTGACACAGTGGAGAAAGGAGCCCAACCAATGGCCCTTTCCTTCAGTTACATTTTTTAAATGTCTACCAAGGTTTGTCTCTTTTGAGACAACCCATGTGACACAGTCACCCTAGACTAAGTAATGTTGATTGATCAAATATATGTGGCCGTTTTTAGGTTAGAACAAAATTGGATCATCTCAGAAAAGTTACAAGATACCATATCAACTGAATCATTGTGACAAACAGGATCTCAAGACTATTTTGTGATCTCTGGCTAGGAGAGATCTCAATTTCAGAGTGTCAATATCTATGATACAAGAGTTTTGGCAGAAAGTATATATATATATGTATGTATATGTGTAACTGAATCGCTTTGCTGTCGACCTGAAACTAACATTGTAAATTGACTACACTTCAATTAAAAAAATAAGAATTAAAAAGGAAAGTTTTGGCAGAAATTAAGAGGATGCTGTTTAATCTGGCCTAATTTAGTGATACCCAATGACAAGGTACAGTTGATAGTGACAGTAGAATAAGACTTCACCTATCCCATTAGACTCCTAAACAAGGCTGCCTAGTTATCTGAAAATCACAGAGCCCATCCATGATTTTATGTAAGCTTTCCACTTAAGTATGGCTCCAAAGGAACTGCTTTATTTCTAAGGAGCTGAGATGTGACTTCTCCTTTGCTTTCAGGCCTCAACACTCAACTAGTGCACAAATTCTACATATTAGAGAGATCCCTTCCATCCTCAGGGCAGAATTTGTATTGTTCACTTCTAACTTGCCTTAGTATTTTTTCAATTTCATTAAAAATTTTTTTAAATTAAAGTACAGTTGACCTACAATATTATGTTAGTTTCAGGTGTATAACAAAGTGATGTGATACTATCCTTAGTAGTTACTAGACTCCTGTCCACAAAGCATTCACTCATCATGATTTTGATTATTCACTGGACCCTTGAACAACACGGGTTTGAACTGGGCAAGTCCATTTATAGGCAGTATTACATACATGCAGTTGGTTTAATCCGCAGATGTGGAACCACAGATAAGGGGGCTGACAATAAAGTTTGATTTTCAATTGCGTGGAGGGTCAGCACCCCAACCCTTGCATTTAAGGGTCAACTGTATTACTTACCTGTGTTTCCAGTTTGCTTTAAGAAGGCTAAATAGCTCAGTTTGCAAACAAAATGTTTTCTAGTCTTGCAGAGTTTATCCAGACTTTAAAAAAACAAATATTTGTTTTTCATAACTAAAGACTTAATTGTAGTTAACTTACATGCTTGAGGAAGAGGTGGTTTTTGTCATTGATCAAGTGACACATCATAATCCACAGGCTTACAGTGAAATTAGTTGGCTTTGCTTTTTTAAGTCTTAAAGGTGCTTCTCCAGGAAGCTTTCTGGCTCACAACCTACCAGAGTGATGGGATTTAGTGTTTTTATCCTATGGATATGAAAGCATCCATTTATTTCTGTTCATTGGCATCTATTGTTGCATCCACCTCTCCTCTAGATATTGATCAAAGGAGGCCCAGAGAAGTAACAATCTGAGACTTAGGTCCCATACCAAAATGAAACCACTGCATCAATTCTCGATTACTGATGAACACGTATGCCATCTTCACCCTACCTGAAATGGCTCTAGGAATTTATGGAACAGCTTTGGCTCACGGAGGTACAAAATCACTGATGTTACTGGTTAACACTGGATGCTCTAGTCCCTCCATAGGATCACCAGATGAGCATTCAACTTGTGCAATGTGAAGTGCTTTCTCTAAAGGGAATTTAAGAGCTACGTTCACTACATTCAGAAGGCAGTAAACTAAGGATTGAATGTAGCCCAACGATGTTTTAAATTCCTGAAAATTTCCCTTTTTCACCCTAAAATTTCACTTATGGGAACCTAAGTGGAAAGGATCTAAATTGGTACTATCATGTAGAAACATAATGTGAGTCACGTATGTAATTTTAAGGGTTTTTTTTTTTTTGGAAGCTACATTAAAAACAGGTCAACTTAATTTTAATAATACATATTATCTAACCTCACATCCAGAATAGTCATTCCAACGTGACATAATATTTTTAAATTATTGATATTTTATTTTTGTAGTAAATCTTCAAAATACAGTGTGTATTTTATGGCCCACCTCAGCTCAGACTAGCCCTACTTGAGCAGTGACTACTTTTTGGCAGTGCAGGTCTGGATGCCTGAAACTCGCCCTGAAGACAAAGCAGAAGGGTTAGGAGAAGGAACAGGGAACTTGGAGCCAGATAAATCTAGGTTCACATCTTGATGGCCACCTGTGCGTGCCTTTGGGCGAATAACCTTGGTTTTCTCACATGCAAAGTGGAGATAATATCTATCTGGTTACGGTTTTGTAAGGCATAAATGAGATGTAACATGGATACGGTACCTATTACATGGCAGGTACTCAAACAGTGATATTGAGTGATTCCTTTTCCCAGCATTTCAAGTAGAAATGCCCTTCCCTGTCTTAGGTATTTTGATCCTTGAAGATCCCAAAGCCCTCCCTTTCTATTCCTGTGGTTCTCTCTCATGACTTCCCAGTAAAATATGCAAGAGAACTTCTTCCAAGACTCCAAACATCTCCACTCCTAGAACAAAAATGCCTACCCCATCCTCAAAGGTTTGTGCCAGGTGTCAAAGATCTCCAACAGGAGAAAAATTCAAGGAATAAGCAAAATAAAGCAAAAGGTCTTCAGCTGATAATTGCAAGGACTTGAAAGGAATGAGTTTCTGTGTTTCCCTTGCAGACCTGGAACCTTGAAACTCAATATTTTACTCCTCATTCCGTGTGTGGCTTCTCGATGTCCTCCCTACTGAGTGGCTCTTTGAATTCACACCTATTGTTTTCCCCCTTTTCAGGAGGGGTCTTGTAAATGCTGAGCAAATACAATAAAAACATAAAACCTCTCATGTGGTTTATCACTTTAATTAGCTGATCGAAACTCAGGAACACCTAACAGTCCTCACTGTGAATTTAATGACATGGCCCCATCTGCCGGTGGGTCTCATAGTAGTAGAATGTGTAGGCCAGAAGACGTCCTCAGTGAAGTGTGCTCAATTTTGTAGCTTATAAAATCTGAAAGCAAACGACTACCTAATTCGTTTTCTCCCTTCCCTTTCTATTATGATATGTTTACTGTTTCATCTCTGCAAGACAGTACTTGGAAATTAGGGAAATGTCATAGGAGAATTAATGTGAGTTCATGAGGAGCACTGTCCCCTGAGTAGTCACTGGAGTTCCTTTTTCAGAAACAGCTGCCTTACATAAAAGGCAATTTTTTGCAATTAAAAACAATGAGAAAGTGAGCCTACCATTGTTTAAAAACTCAGGTGTCTATCAGGTTTTTCAAAAACCAAATACAATTAACTTATGAAGAAAATGTATCCTGTTTGAAAGGACCAAATTTAGGGGCAAGTAATAGCTCTGCTGTAAGAATCATATCACAGAAGAATCAGATCCCTCATGACAGGTACCAGAAAAGGCACTTGAGTTCAGCTCATTTTGTGTCTGTTTAAATTTTATTTAAAAGTGCATATTTTCCTTAGATTCTGTTAAGCATTCCAAATATTCATCAGTGTACATTCAAAAGTTAGATAATCATTGACTCCATTTTCAATTTTTATTATTTTGTAAATGAGATAATCTAAACACATTCAAAAATTGGGCTGAAACATACAGTTAGAAAAAGAGAAGTCTTCAATACTGAGTTTCATATGTCAGAAAAATTCACTCCTGTTTCTAGGTTTGGAGTCTAGAAAATTTACCCCTTAAGTCAGATAGATGAGTTTATTTTTAGAGAAAGCCTAACTTCTGGGTCTTAAAGGAGATGATAAACAAATCCTGATTTTTAATAGGTTGCACCATTGTAAGTGTATTTTTTAAAATTATATTGCTGAGTAAAATGCAATTAAACTGATGCACAGTTTTTTCACATCTAGAAGAAAAGAGGTAAGAGAAACCAACCACCTCTGTAGAGAAGATGGAAATGGGGAGGGAGCTGGCAGCCTCCAAGTGTCAAGAGTGGGAATAAAAGATAATCTTTTAAAAATGTGAAAATGAATATATATATGTATATGCATGACTGGGACATTGTGCTGTACACCAGAAATTGACACATTGTAATCGACTATACTTCAATAAAAAAAGACAATCTTTTAATGTCATTACTGATCTAAAACTCCTTTAGTTTGTTATTTAAATATAAAAATAATATAGGAGTCTGGGATTTGCAGATAGTAACTACTTTATATAGAACAGATAAACAACAAGGTCCTACTGGATAGCACAGGGAACTATATTCAATATCTTGCAATGGCCTAGGATGAAAAAGAATATGAAAAGGAATATATTCCCCTATATATGTACGTCACAATGCTGTACACCAGAAATTAACACATTGTAAATTGACTACAGTTCAATTTAAAAAAAAGAAAATAACATGGTATAATTTATTTTGGCAGTTGTTGGAGCAGGTCGTGGAGAGGATGTGACAGCCAGTTGACCCTCTACTTGGACCCAGGTAATGAAGTTTCCTCACCTCCCCCACCCCCTCTCTGCTCCTTAGCTCCCTACCTTCCCCCACCCCCCTGTCCTCGGAATGTACGGTCTACCTACTGTTCCCACAGTGGGAGCCGTTCAGGGACGTGGCCTTGGGAGAGCACTGTGTTGTTGAGATCACCTGGACTGAACACTGAACACTGTTAAGGCCTTTATATAAACTTTAAGATTCTGGGGGGACAGGTGCAGAGATCTATTCACCTTTCAGCCACCCTAGACAAGCTTCCTGTGTAAGTTCCCTTGCTCATTA